GTGCGCCGCGGTGATGGGCGCGAGCGCCGCGCAGTCGGGGTTCGTCGTCGGCTCCGGGCTCGGCGCCGCCGGCGCGGAGGTCGGCGCGTAGGACGGCGCGTAGGTAGGGGGGTAGATCGAGCCGTCCCCGCTCTCGAGGGGCTCGGCCTCGAGGGGCTCGCACTCGCCGCAGGTCGCGGGGCAGGCCTCGCGCGCTCCGTCTTTGCCGTCGCAGCGGGACGTCTTCTCGGCGATCCACGCGCAGCCGCGGCCGTCCTTGCCGTCGTAGAGCCAGTCGTCGTCGTCCTCGCAGCGGGTCGCCGTCGGTGTGGGCTCCGGCGTGGGCCTCGGCGTCTTCGGCCGCGGCGTCGGCCTCGGCGTCGCGGGGATCTCGACGGGCGTGGGCACGTGGGTCGAGTCCTCACTGTCGAGGGGCTCGGCCCTCGCAAACGTCGGCGCGCATGTCGGGCCGGGGGCGGTCGCCGGTGGGGCCGTCGGCGCGGCGGCCGCTCCGAGGCCCGCCCGCGCCAGGAGGCACAGGAGAACCGGAACGGCCTTCATCCACCTTCATCCCATCTCGTGCGTCGTTTCACCACAGTTTAAGCGACTAGCGTCTCTCTACGACAATCAGGCGGCGATTTGGTGTTTCCACACTTCAAGAAAAAAAAGAGAAAAAAATCGGCGCCGAAGGCGCCGGGAGGCGGCGCCGGAGGCGCCGAGGGAGCGCCGGAGGCGCCGGGGGCGCGGGGGGACAACAACACAGGTATTAAAACTATGATGGCCACGGGTATTTGTCGAGCTTGGCCGCGTCGCTCACCGTGAACGTGCCCGACATGGCCTCCAGCTTCCGCTTGAGCTTGTCCCTTCTCTCGGGGTCGCCGGCGCCTTGGCTGCATTCTCTGGGAATCGCCGTGGTACACAGTGGAGCGCGGGCGCCGCGGTGGAGCATGGCCGACGAGCAGTGGACGCCGGGCTCCCTCACCACGGCCGAGGAGAACAAGTGGACGCGGTTGGTCCGCATCTCGAACCTCGTCCCGCTGCCGCCGCGCGGCGGCAGGTTCAAGTTCGCGTCCTACGAGCGGCTGGGGCCTGACGACGCGGCCGCGGCCGTCGGCCACTGCCTCGACGGCGCGGGCCGGTCGCCGACGGCCTGGCTCCGCGACCTCGAGCAGCGGGGCGTGCCGCTGCCGCCGGGCTCCGCGAGAACCGCGCGCGACGAGGAGCTGCGCATCATCGGCCAGTCCTACTCGCCGCTCATGCTCCTCGCGAACCTGCCCGAGCTCT